TGAATTAAATTAGTAAGAACCGCAAATCTGTTTTATAAAAAACTTTACAAAAGCGCACTAGAGAAAACAAAAACCAGCTTTATGTATTACCATACTCGCGCAAACCTAATCTTCAAGCATTGTTTATATTTTGATGGGTAAAAATCCGTCACTTATAGATTAGTTCGCTTTATTAAACAGGAGACTTTTTTTGTTTAAACAGAAGATAACAAATAAATACAAATTCTATTCATAAGAATGGTAATAATTATGAAAATTTTAATCATTAAGAGCCTTATGTGTTATCAAAAACTTTTCAAAATCGCTCAAGAAAAGTAGAAAAAAAGCCAGATTTGCTTACTTATTGTTGTATTCCGGACGATTTTATTGTAACCCTTCTTTATATTCCTAATTATTTTATTTCCGCAGACCACATAGCAACTTTTTTATCCATTAAAGATGAAGAGAAAATATTTCGTTATTTGAAAATTACGAAAAAGTTCCTCACAGTTAACTTTTTTGAAATATCAAAATTTTGTAATTCGATACCTCATTCATAAACAGTCGATAATTATGTTTAACAATTTAAATATTTATTTTTTCTTCTATAAATGCCTCGTAGCAGACGATGAACGAATAATGATATTTGCATTGCATATGTTGGTGTGATATTTGAAATATTGATTATGATAAATTCGCCAAATTTAGCGATAAAAAGTCTTGTTTGGTAAAACCATTGGAAAATGTGGTAAACAGTCCGTCGTAGCCCTGCTAATGCTTAAAGATTAGTTTTGCATACAGAGTAAAGAATTAGGCTCTGTATTTATGCCCAAAAATAAAAATTATTTATTATTTTATTGTTTATTATTTTATTTTTAATTATTTTGTTGTTTATTATTTTATTATTTATTATTTTAATTCATAAGAGGACTATGAGGGAACGGCGCAGGTTTGATAATGCAGTATTATATAGATAGTTTATTTCTGTAATCCTTTTGACTGAGTAGACATAATCATTATTTTTAGATGGATTACAAGTTATATTTCTATTATCTTCAGATTAACCGTGTAAGGTTTTTATAGTAACAGTGTAAGGTTTTCATTGTAATCGTGTAAGGTTTTCTTTTCTACGTGACCCAATAGTGGGTAATTTCCAAAAAATTCTTTCACAACGGAGAACTAACTAGAAATTTGATTCGAAAGTACTCTTGTCTTCCAAGTTGGATGTGAAGTTACAAAGCTAAGATAAACGGCTATTGACACAAAATCACCAATTTGATAAATCTTTCACCAATAGGGATGAAAAAGAAACTGTATAAATGTATAAAAACGTTTTTATCATTATTTTCATGAAAAAGATTTTTTTCATAATTCGTAGGTAAACAAATTGTAATTATTGAAAAGCACATTAATTATTATTATTTATAAAAAACATGTCTTAAAAATTGTAAAACTATGTCTTAAAAATGGTAAAAACATGCCATATATCAAATCTAATTTCAGTGGGGAACATAACAGGAAAAAAGTGCATGATGAAAAAGATATTGCCTAATTCAAAGGAAAAAAATGCAAACTTATTGATTGTCAATTGATTCATAATTATTAAATGTAAATTTATTTATGGAATATAATAAAGATAGAGAAAACATTGAAAATATAGGGAATTAAAAATATAGAGAAAACATGGAAAATGCAGATTAATGAAATGAGATGAAGAATAATAAAATATTTATAAAATGTATTTAAAATTTAAAAAAAAATTAAAAAGCCAGGAAACATAATAATGAAAAGATATAATCCGTCATGAGGTCACACGATTATATTCACAAAAAGGAGTGCAATAGTGTGTGGAGCACTAAAAAATTGAAACGATAATAGAACACATTAAGTGAAAAATATTTACGAAATAAAACATATCAATCAAAGAACAGAAAATAAAGAACAAAATATAAAATGAAATCTATAAAGCGAGTAGCGAATTCAAATGAATTTACACATACCGCAATCTGTAAAGAATGATTTGAAATATTTTCGTAATAAGATTGCCAAATTACAAAATATGAAAAAAGAAGCACAAGTAGAACTAAAATCGTAAATAGAGGGATCTTTTATGTCGTGTTCTTACTGCAGTACTGAAGCGTGCTTGATTTTTTAGTTTACTTTGATTTGCCCGAAAATGAATGTGCTCAAGCTAATAATATTATACCGGATAATTTAAAGTTTATAATTGAAAAGGTTGATATTTAGTTATGCAATTTTAATGATTTAAGAAAATTAGCATTTATTTTTTTAAAAATAGAGAGAAACATGATTTACCTCTTTTGCACAGATTTTCAACCACGGATTCGCCCGAATTGGATTTGCCCATGGTAAAAATATAGATTAACATCGAAATTTGTGATTTATTAATAATAACATGCAATTAACTCAATTATTTTATATAGAACTCAATTACATTAGTTGGGTATCCATTGTTTTTTTTAATCAAATTTTGAAAAAAAGTTTGTCTATTTGTTTTTTGGATAAATAAATATTGCTTCATATTCTTTTAATTCTATTCATTTGATTTAAAGTTGTATTGAAATAATTGTTTTTACAAGCATTAGAATTTCAAGTAATAAGTTTATTTTTATTAAAATATCCAGCCGACCAANCGCACTAGAGCTGCACAATGGGCTATTGGCGACGGTCTGGGAAACATCCCGGAGGATGATCCGAAGACATGCCATCACAATTTTGATCCTCTGTGGAGGGGATGGCACCCCCGCTTCGGTAGCCCGACTACCTGCGTGCGAAGTCGAGCACTTTACGGTAGCACAGTTTAACGAGGACCAATATCGCACACCCTCGGTCCCTACACAGACTGATCCAAGTGGTCAGCCACCCGCACACTGACCGTAGCCAGTGATGCTTGACTTCGGTGATCAGCTGGGAACCGTGTCTTAATGATCAGTTCACTGCGGGCCTAGTTAACTTTGATTTGCCCGAAAATGAATGTGCGCAAGCTAATAATATTATACCGGATAATTTAAAGTTTATAATTAAAAAGGTTGATATTTAGTTATACAATTTTAATGAGTTAAGAAAATTAACATTTATTTTTTTAAAAATAGAGTGAAACATGATTTGTCTCTTTTGCACAGATTTTTAACCACGGATTTGCCCGAATTGGATTTGCCCATGGTAGAAATATAGATTAACAGCGAAATTTGTGATTTATTAATAATAACATGCAATTAACTCAATTATTTAATATAGAACTTAATTACATTAGTTGGGTATTCATTGTTTTTTTAAAATAAAATTTTGAAAAAATTTTGTCTATTTGTTTTTTGGATAAATAAATATTACTTAATATTATTTTAATTCTATTCATTTGATTAAAAGTTGTATTTAAATAATTGTTTTTACAAGCATTAGAATTCTAAGTAATTAGTTTACTTTTATTAAAATTAAAATCTTTTCTTTATCGTAGAAATAAACAAAGCAGATATTTTCATATTTTTTAATACCCAAATCCAAAAAAATTAAAATTAATATTATCATCATGAGTCCCCCAGTGTCTTTTTTCCCCAATTTTGAAGTACTTTTGGAAATCGTCAGACAACAACCACAGTTTACGAACATACAGTTTAAGAAGATAAAAGTTTGTTTTCGACTTGTGAGATGCAGAACATTCTGTAGAAGTTGACGTAAACTGTTATGGAAGGCATGCATGTGTTTTTAAGTTGTTTAAGAAAGATAATTTTCTCATAAAAAGATTTACACAAATCTAAGTTGTAATTTTATAATATTTAATTTCGATCCTCGTTGTCTTTTTTAAGCCTAACTTGGAATTCATAATAATGTTCTCTCTGTGCTGTGAATGTTTGATTAGCAATTTTTATATTAAGAAATATTGCTTACATGCATCCTAAATTAATCATTTTTCTTAATATTGTACAGTAAAAATAACTTTACTGACTCTTATGAGTAGCATATATTATTACAATAAAATTTTTTAGTGTAACTGAAAAATAAATAAGGTGGCTGCTACTCTACACCAAGTAGTGTAAAATAGCTTCCTTGATTCTTGGTGTAGAGCAGAGTTTCTTAAACATTTTGGTCTTGGGATTCCACAATATTTACGATAAATTTGTGAGGCTGTTTGTGTTGCGAGAGGTGTTGCACAAATCAGACACACGCGAGGGTACTGTCAGTTTCCACACTTATAATGGAACTATTACTATGGTACTATTGCAGATTTAGGTCATTAACTTTAATTTTAGGACAAAGATTAATGTGAAAATTTTAAATAAGTAACTAATTTAAAAATATAGAACAATAATAAAAATATTTAAATTGGGTAAATTTGATTACTCAGTCAAATCCACTTAAAAGGCACTTAGTGGATTTAGACGGTCCACTTAGAAGGTCACTACTAAGAAAATTCATTTACTTCTATCAGCGCATCTGCAAAGATTAAGTAGCAATGGAAAGGGTGTGCGTGTTTATTTTTAATTACATTAACTCTTGGCAATTATCTTTTTTATTGTGTATTTTTATGAATATCTTTTTTTTATTATTAATTATTACATACAGTCTCATTATATATTTCTTTATATACGCTGAGTAAAACTATTTGGTTATTGTAAAAGTATTATAATAAGTTAAAGAAATATTAAAAAAATAATAAGATTTTTGCAACTGGTGCAGGTCTCGCGACCCCAAGTGAGGTCGAGATCCAAATTTTAGAAAAGGGGTTTTATTTTATGGTGTGGGGAAAAACTAGATCCAATGGTTATGTACAGTATTTTATTACACCACTTAAGTGAAAAATACGTGCAACATTTTTGGCATTGAGATACATTAAAATTTTTAACACTGTAGTATTTTATAGCATATTCAAAATTTCAATGGCTGGGTTATTTGTTGATAGGCTTATAGACGATAATATTTATGTTTCACTTTAAATTGTTTCTAAAGTTAGTTAACTTGTGTTGTTAATTTTTTTTTAACTATTTGATGTATCTTTGGTGCAGAAAAACAAAAGCTGCCAACTTCAAATGAAGCAACTACTTCTTCCAGCGAAGCAACTACTTCTTCTAAAAAAGCTACTACTGCTTACATCGAAGCAACTACCTCTTTCAACGAGGCAACCACTACTTCTAACAGAGCTACTACTCCTTTCACTAAGGCAACTACTACTTTCATTGCAGCAACTACCACTTCTCAGAGAGCAACTACTTCTTCCAACAAAGAAACAACTTCTTTCAACGAAGCAACTACTTCGAACGAAGCAACTACTTCGAACGAAGCAACTACTTCGAACGAAGAAACTACTTCGAATGAAGAAACTACTTCGAACGAAGAAACTACTTTGAACGAAGAAACTACTTCGAATGAAGAAACTACTTCCAACGATGCAACTACTTCAAACATAGCAACTACTTCTCCCAACGAAGAAACTACAACACTCGGCGAGATGTTCATCATCGTAACTATCTAATAACTGCAATTGCGAAGAAATTAAACTGTAAACAAATTTGTGTACACTGTAAACGAATTTAAGACTAAACTGTAAACAAATCTAAATTAGCTGTAAATTGTAAGCAGAATTAAGCTATTTTAATCAGTTTTACGCTTTAATAGAAATTCCAAACGCCAGTTAATTATCAGCTACAAAGTAAAAAAAGAAAATCAACAGAAAATCTTTTACATCTAAGAGTTGTAAAAAGGGACATTTTTGATAAAATGAATAATAAAATGAAATAATTTTTTATACAAATATGGCTGTCCTTTTTTTTTAATAATTCTCTTCTTCCATCAGTGTGACAGCCAAGTAAAGGCCAGAGCCATCCCAACTAGTTTTCTCTGTTTGTCTTGATCAGGCATTAGGTTTCTGCATTTATTGATACCCATGGTTTTGAGATCTCTTTCCATAGAATCAATCCATCTGTTGTTTGATCGTCCTCCTTTTCGGTTGCTTGTAAACTTTCCTAAAGTAAGCTTCATAACTGGGTCACCTTCATCCCCTCTATAGAGTTGGCCCCGCCATCTTATTGTTATAGGATTTAATAACTGAAATTATGCTTGGTTGCTTAAATTTTTCTGTGTAATTCATAATTGAAATGAATTCACCAAACACTGTTTTCTTTAACCAGCTGAGAATTTTTCTGTCAAATATTAATTACTTATTGGTTATTGATTATTACAATTACATAAATTTTCAGGCTTGTGTGCTCAAAATAGGCTTATAAACCTTCGTCAAGTAGAAGAAGCAGATAGCACAATAGGAGAGACAGCACCATATTAGTTGTTTATTTTCCTCAGTTTTTTTAAAGACCAGCATTCGTTGCCATAAAGTAATACAGGTTTAACTAGAAATAAATTCGTTTTAGTTTAATGGAAATTAGCTTTAATTTCAGTATTTTTCTAAATCCGAAATAATACCTATTAGCTATCGAAGCTGTTATTAATTTTTGTTTTGATATCGTTATTAACTGTAACAATTGTTCCTAGATATTTGGACTGGCAGACAAATCAAACCTTCAAATGTATAATTTGTCACATATAGATTACTGACTGTCATAAATTTGGTCTTATCCTGATTAATATTTAAACCCAATGTTTTAGCAACTGCCTCAAGTACATAGTACGTTTCCCAACGTCTCGCCTCGATTAAAATGTGGTCTGTCTGATTCTGAGTTAAACTATCCAGTGACCTCCAAGTTATCTTGTGTATATTTTTATGTTGAAACTGGGCGTAATAATACTCCCTGACTCTGACTGAATATTATTCCCACTTAGCAAATTCGCTGCAGAAGCAAAGTCTGCCAGCCTGGTTCCATTATCATTAAACTCATCAAGTAGGCTATGCCTGTTCATATAAGAGCCTGTTCATGTTCATAAACCACGTTTTGCATTTACTTCACCAAATCTTGATATAATTCGATGGATATTTTAGGTATTTATTTTCTAGGGTATTACAGAAATAATATTTTCATTCTCATTTTCATCTTTTTTATTTTCAGTTTTGTTGGCGCAAACACACATACAATGCTAATATTCTGAAGTTTGCCCCTTAAGCGCAATTTGCAGTTTCTTTCATTTATTGGCAATGAGTCAATAACTTGTTCCCTAATTCGTTTACTAACCTATTCGTTACTACCGATCGGATGAAACTGTTTGAGATATCTGAACAAGAATATTTTTACAAGTAGGGCAGTCAAAGATATACTCAGCCCCAACGTGGAGAACCAGGTTATTCCTCTTGATCTCCCTTTTGACCTGTCCGGCTTGGATAGCCCTACCAGGAGCCGAAGCTTCTTCCGGCTTAACTCTCGAGATCAACAACACACACTAATCACACTACTACTATTTTGGGAACTCCGTTGAGGTGGAAAACCTTGATCCAAGAGTTACGGACGACGTTTTACTATACCATTTTAGTGCAACGTACATGCTTAATTTTTGGTATTGAGTTACGCAAATTTTTTTTTACAGTCTAGTATTTCATAGTATGCTGAACGAAACTTCAAAATTTTAATAAGTAAATTATTTAATGATGGGCTTATAGATGGTAATATTTAATATTTAAATTGTCTCCAAAGTGTGTCAACTTGCATTGTGAATTTTTGTTAACTAATTGAAATTTTAAGAAATCTTTGGTGCAGGAAAACAAAAGCTGTCACCTTCAAGTGAAGCAACTACTGCTTCCATCGAATCAATCACTTCTTTCAACGAAGCAAACACTACTTCTAACTGAGCAACTACTACTATCAACTCAGTAACTACCTCTTCTCAGAGAGCAACTATTTTTTTCCAACAAAGCAACTACTTCTTTCAACGAAGCAACTACTTCTTCCAACGAAGCAACTACTTCTTCCAACGAAGCAACTAATTTTTCCCAAGATGCAACTACTTATCCTAACGAACAAACTGCTACAATCAAGGAGGTGTTTATCATCGTAACTATCTAATAACAGTAAACGTAAAAAAATTTAACTGTAAACAAATTTGCGTAAGCTGTAAACAAATTTAAGTGTACCATAAATTAAACTGCAAACAAATTTAAATTAATTTTAAACAGACATAAGCTATTTCAATCATTTTTTTGCTTTAACAGACAAAAGACAGTTAATTTTCAGCTCCAAAATAAAAAATAAATAAAAAGAGGTTCCTTTACATGTAAGGCTTGTAAAAAGGGACATTTTTCATAAAATGAAGAATAAAAATGTAATAATTTCTTTTATACAAATATGATTTTCCTTTCGTTAGAATAATACGCATTTAAATTTCACGAAATAAGATTTAATGTTTCGAGGGTCTGACCGTAACCCTTTCTTCTCCACTGGGACACTTATGCCCCGCATATGAAAACATCACTTGAACATATGTCCCGTCTAAAGAATACGGAGGGACACATGTGTCCCAGTCCCTCAGATTGGTTAATTTTTTATTTTATTTTAGCAGAATATTGCTATTTTTTACCTTTTTTGATCGAGTAAACCCGTAATTTTTTTTTATATTGGAAAAGAAAAAAAAATTGATCTTGAAAGGGTTAAATATGCTATTTAACTAGTGCAGATGAAATTTTAAGTTTCGAAATCAGACATAAAAACGCTTTTTTCTGAATTAATATGTCTTTTTTTTAAATTTTTTTTTAGCAGATTTGGATTCTTAACCCTTTTAATATTGGGAATTGTCGTAATCTGAAAAATATGGTCAGATAATAGTTAAGGCTATTGGCATCATCGCCAGCTTCACTCTACATTTTCGTTGATGGAAAGTTTTGTTACTTTTTCTCAATAACTTAGAAGTTGCCAGCTTATTTCTTTACATTAATGAGTAGATCTCCTTTGCACAGATATAACAAATTATTTTTAAATGGTATTAAAACAAATTTGATTTTTTTTGTGTATGTTATATTTTCAGGATATGCGTAGAAAGTTACTTTTTAAGTTCATATTTTTCCTTCATAAACTTTTTATTAAAAAATCATGTAGGTAGGTAATTGATTTCTATTGGCAACAATATCGAAATATATATAAGAAAATATTATTAAAAATGTTTTTTTCTCGAGGAATAAAAGAAATTCTTCTCTGAAATTGTTCTTCAATTCCTATTTTTGTCCACAGGTGGCTACGCGGCGAAATCACCAAACCGTGAATAGAGAAACACCATCAAATTTCTATTATTACTGTAAATAAATGAATGATACCTTTCGTGACGGAGCGTTTCAACGATCACCAAAAAATAGATCACCCATAGGATACGATCATCTACTGAAAGAAATGAATAGAATGAATAAAATTATTCATGGAATTTTCTTTCACGGTCTAAGAATATATTTTTCAAGATCTGAGTAATGTTTAGCTACTTTCAGTGACAGAGCTTAAATAAATTAAATAAAGCCATAGTCATGAAAAAGTTAATTTTGCTGAAATTCTTAATTTCAATAAAATTCTTTTCCACAATTTCTTAATAATCAGAAGTTACCATAAAGTCAAATTATTTCGGGACACTTTTTGGGTTTTTTATTTTTTTAATGATAACTTCTTTAATTTGTAATTTTGGCCTCTAAATATGTTACAATGCATGACTGTCTCATGGAAATCTTTTATTCTTAATTTTTTATTTCTCAAGATCTAATTGTCCAACTTATTTCAAATTTTACATTTTGTCATTTAAAAATTTATAAAATTCTTTGGAGTTAAAATTTCTGTACCATAGAATTTAATGTGCTTTCGACCATGGCTAAATTAAATAATAAAATATAAAAAATTATTATGAAAAATATTTTTTTCCACTGAAATATCTTGAATAAACGAGTTTCACAACTATGGGGAAGTTTTTTTGATGTGTCTAAAGAGTTCAAGAAATAAGAAGAAATACAATGCATGGAATTATTATTATCAATAGTTCCGGACATTCAACCATCCTCATGTTTGAACTTTTGCTACCCTTTTCCCAGGTTGCGGCTACCCCTTCCTATTTTTAGGGTTAAAAATTGTAATACGTGAAGAAAACACGCAAATTTGTTCAGGAGAAGCATATTTTGTGTTCAGTTTCGTAAACCTAAAATATAGACTGCAATAATTAATTAACGCATCTGAGCCACTTACAGGAAGAGAAACATACTCAGGAACCATATGTACTAATATCCAGCTCATGCACATAACTGGCAGTCAGGAGGTACGTCATCTGTGAACCGATTGTTAGATAATTCACCATGAATGGTTGGGTACGTTGCCACCCGCCATTTTTTTCCAGCGATCGCACCAAGTCATAGGGGACCAATTTACATAACATCTATCGAAGGTAGTCTTCTAATCCAATGTGTATTCTTTAGGACAATACTGACCCCCTTGCTAACTACCCTCATGCAGTTTACCGGCAAAATATTTGAACCCTGAATTTCCATTTCTCTTTGTCGACCACTGACTGTTGTGGAAGTGTTTTACTTAAGTTAATTGTTTAAACGATTTTTCTTAAACATTACTCTACTCTGTTAAATATACTATTTAACAGAGTTAATGCATATGCTATTAAATAGGCTATTTATATTTCTAGTTACTAAATGTAAGTTTTAAGTAAGTTAAGTAAGTTTTCAGGCCGACCAGGTGGCCGAGTGGTTAGCGTGTCTGACTGCGGAGCCATTGGCCGCTGGTTCGAATCCTGCTCAGGGCAAAGATGTTTCTTTCTCTCTCTCTGTGTTCTATGTCCTTTCTCCTTTGTGTGAATGTGACCAGCCCTATAAACAGGTTTGTGGTTGTGTGACGTGGGCGATGCTGCTCCACAGGTGCCCACTGGGTAACGAGTAAAGAGTAGCAGTTCTGGCATTCCTGTGGCCAATGGGACAATCCCCAAGTGCTCGCCATTAAAAAAAAAGTTTTCAGTAAGTATTCCTTAAAACTCTCCAAAACTGTTACCGAAAAATTCTTGCTCTTAAAATTTAAAAGATTATAATATTAAAAGAATTAAAATTTTAAAAATTAAAAAATTAAATTTTTATTTATTTATTTAGCCTTAAAGATGAAGGAAATAAAACAAAAAAAAAATCAAATGTATTAGTTGCTCAATAAGTAAGGAATTCGCATTCGAAATAATGTCAATTAATCATACTTACTACACAAACAATACTCAATTAATTATGCACCTCACTTGCGAAAGAGAGTTTTCTAAGAATTTTTGAATATAATCGTAAGAAATTTGGACTTTCTAAATATTTTCACATACATTTCTGTCAAGATGAGATTAATGAGTTAATATCAAACTATTTTTTTTATTTATTTATTCATATATGTTTTTTCACAATAAATCATCTACTTTTGCGCAACTTGATAAGAAATCCTTATTTAAGAAATCCTTATTAAGTCATGTAATATATATTTGTGCAAATATGCAAGATGATTTAAGTTTTATAAAGTGATTTCAATTGCAGCTAAACTCTATTAACCGCATTGATTTTAATCTTTTGAGGTCCCATTTGTTTAATCTAGTTAAGTAAAGAGAATAATAAAAAGTAGAATAATAAAATAAAGAAAAATGACTTTTCCCATTTTACCTGTGATAATGATGATGAACCAGTACAAGTATCTTATGGGCACGTACAAACCAACGCCAATGATTATGCAGCATTTCTCAATATACGAACAGCCGAAGAAGAATATACAGGTACACCATTTTATTGCGGTGGGAAATCGTGGTAAGTGTGCTTTATTTTAACGAAATTACACTGCAAAAGAAATTTTTTTAATTTCAGTTCAATCAAAAAATTTCTAACATGTAACAAATTTTTTTTTTAAATTTAAACTTTTACTTGTTTCCTCAGTATGGTTCGATCCCAAAAGTTCGTTAGCGTTTATATACTTTATATATGGTTCAAAATGTCGATATGAAAAAAAAAACACCGAAAGTTCTCGAATGTTTAGATGTTTATGTTCAGAGATAATTTCTTAGTATGCCTTTAATTATTTTTTATGAACTACAAATTTTTCTCCTATATTTAAATAATGAGTGAAAATTACTTTTTGAAATATACACATTAAATAGTATGAGACGGGAACTTAAAAATTGTTGAGGATCAAATTTAGTTATTGCATGATATTGCACTTTTTGATAAATTTTTACGGTATTAAGTGAATGCCCTTTAAAAACTCAAAGTGCCCTTTTTTATTCATAGGGAGAACTCTATAAACAGAACACAATTAAAGATTCAAATACAACAATAATGAAAATTTAAGCGAAAAAAGTATAAAATACATAATTCTAAGTTGCTACAGCGCCCAACTGCTAATGCTACAACCGGAAGAAAAGCTTAAGAAATATTTTTTATTAAAGTTATTACCTCATAAGATAACTGAAAAAGATTACCACAACAGGAGACAACCAAAAAATAATAGCAGGAAATAACATTCTAAATGTCGAAAAAAAAAAAAACTACAAGAAAGAAAGTAAAGTGGAAAAGTAACAAATATAGATAGATATAGATTGATAGATATTACAAAAATCTATCTATAAATGAAAATTTATTCATTCATTAAATATATTTTTGTTCTCCCTCTTTATACACATTCTAATTTAACACTCGAACTCACATACTGATTTGGTATTCGAACCTGCAACTTTCTTAAATTCATCCGAAAAATTCTGTTTCCCATGCGGTAGTTTATGCACTTCCGCTTCGATTTTCAAAATTACGGTATATAGTCTTCGTATGACCTGCTGTTGCTTTCTTATGTTTTTTCTGGGGGAAATTGGGGGTATGGTTGCTTGTAGTAATTAACCGCAAACCGCAGAAACTGCTCCGGCACTGACTGCATGATAATGCCTCCTCTGACGAAGCTGCCAGTGCCTTTACTATAATTTCTTTTTAGCGATTTTTCTTTTTTGATCTTCACGATGTTATTTCCTGTTATTATTTTTCAGTTTTCTCCTGTTGTGCTTTAAGCTCTCTTATGAGGTAATGACTTATTTTGTTTTATTTCAACTCAAAAAGGTTAATAAACGTCCGAGAATGGCCATCCGAACGATGAAATTCGGCATAGTGATAGTTCGAACGAGAAAGTTCAATGTCGACATTAGAGCATTCTACAACGTATCATTCAAAGAGGAAGAGCGAAAAACGAAAATTAATTTCTTGATTAGTTAAGCGTTAGCCATTGTTTTAAATTAAACTATAGACTATATATTCAAATAACTGTAGACTTTATTCATATAGCTATAGACTATAAATTTAAATTAAACTACATATTAAACTATTTTATCAAATATTTTAAAGATAACATTCCAAACATCACATCATTAAATATAACATTCGAAAATGCTATGTACCAGAGAAAATTACTTGATAGAGGTAAATTCTGACTATTATGAGTTGACCGCACCATGCCAAGTGAGGCTGAATACAGTTAATTTCTATTCTGATAGGATGAACTACAGAAAACACGTTTTGCTTAATTCGTAAAGTAACTGGGAGGGGCAGCAAATTAATAAATTAAAAAAATTGAGTTTTTTTCAGATTTATTAATTGTATCGGTAAATGCTTTTCAGTTACGTGCATGATTTCGTGGTGTTGTTCAGTAGGGATTCAGGGATTGTTTTTTATTTATACAGCTCAAAGAACGGGTATTCAGCTAGTAATCCATATGTTTACTTCTCTTACGTGTTACCTAAAATGCGAGTATTTCTCGATGCAAGTTGACTACATAGTCATCTATTTATATTAATTTATTCCCTATATATTCATTTTGTCAATTTGTCTTAACTAATAATTTAAGTAGAGTTAAATAACTGGTTAAATGTTAATTAGTTCATAATAATTAGTCATGCGTTACGTAACCACAATTTAGAACATATCGGTTAACACTCTGGATAGTACTATCTTAATTGCTTCTGATTTGTTTTTATGTCTAAGCTTAAAAATGTACGCCATCCTACATTGTTACTGTACTTGTACCGTTTACAAAAAGATGTATACTATTTACCAGTTAATATCTAATTCCATTTACCTTAAGACGAAAACATTAAAATCTGAATATAACACTCGAAGCGTGGTAAACTTTGCACTTTATTTATGCCATGATCGATTCATAGTGCCAAATCAATTTATGACTTTCGACTTTTCAGAATTTATAAAACACAAAAGAATTCTAAGGATATTTAAAATTAGGTATAAATTTAAATGCAATTTCAATAATAAAACTTCATCGAATATCAAGCGTGATCACACATTGACTAATATACATTAGTGAAAGGAAACATGGGGAGTTTTAGAGATTCTGCTTTGGCTTAAAGTATGTGAACTTTGTTCTCATTAAATTTATTTTATACAAGACTTTTAATTGATCTTGATAAAAGTAAAAAAAAATTTTTTTTCAGATACGAAGCACACACTGGTGCCTTATATATTAACAGATAATACTGTAACAACAGCAGCTGATGAATCAACAACAGCTGTATCTGCCACATCCACAGCAGCTGGGGGATCAGAACCAACAGCTGAACCTACCACTACTTCAACTGAATCATCATCAACTGTAAATGAATCATCAGCAGTTACAGAGGAATCATTAGCAACTATAGATGAATCATCAGCAACTTTCGAGGAATCATCAGCAACTGCAGCTGAATCATCAGTAACTGCAGCTGAATCATCAGCAACTGCAGCTGAATCATCAGCAACTGAGACTGAATCAACAGAATCGGCAACTGAATCTGCAGAAACTGAAACTGAAGCAACTGAAGCTGAAACGACTGAAGCAACTGAAGCTGCAGATGCATAGACAACAACAGATTCGACAGCAATGACTGCAGGATTACGATGACAAAATAGAAAATAACCAAAATACTGAAGGAACTTAGCTACAGCAATTATAGTGATATTTTTGTACAATTGTATATTTTGCACACAAGGAGGAAACTTACTTTATAAGTATTGCATCCCTTCATCCAAAACCTATGAGTGAAGTAAAACTCGAATTTTATTTTTTGTTCATTAATGTTTTAGCATTCTGCTTTCACTTACTGTAAATATATTTTTATCCTTTATTTCAGTAAAAAAAAGATGCTTTATTATAAAAAATTTCCTTGTGAGCTTAAACTTTCACTAACAATACTCTACGTAATGTAACTAACTCTCCCTGGTATTTCGGAAATAAAAATGTCCGTAATGACATCTGTACGCCTAGCCTTCTTAACATCGACATAATTTGATCCCTAAATTATTTTATTAATAGCAATAGTCCTTCCAATCTCCTAATCTGCTCCACATCTAATTATAATCCTGGTGGTAGGAGGCGGCCCAAGGCCATCCTCCATTATTATAACGACCTACAGGACATTCTCTGGGTTGCGCACCCCCCGGACCGGCACCCCATCTCTATCTTATAAGATCATTACTACTTTTAAACCTGCTTCGGTTGGCCTCCATCTCGTGGATTTACTGCAGCCCACTCCTTCATCATCTAACTACCTACTAACAACTTACTAAACAATTATTTAATTAAACTTTGTGCTGACCCCTAATTGCGCTGTCCTTTCTCTCTTTTCTTTTCTCATCATTCCAATTAATTTATTTTATTTTATTTTTTAAATTTTCTTATAACCGTCGTTGAACAGCCGACCCAATTTTTGGGTTTACAACTACTAATGTTCAACTACGTAGCCTTGTAATTTTGAACCCAATCCAGAAGACAAGGGGACTCCTGGATCAAGTATTGGGAGAAATTTGCCTTCGTGGAGAATTTTTTGATGAACCCCTATTTGTGCTGTCCTTTCTCTCTTTTCTTTTTTCATCATTCTAATTAATTTATTTTATTTCATTTTTAAAATTTTTTTTTATAACCGTCGTTGAACAGCCGAGCCAATTTTTGGGTTTACGACTAATAATGTTCAACTACGTAGCCTTGTAATTTTGAACCCAATCCAGGAGACAAGGGGACTCCTGGATCAAGTATTGGGAGAAATTCGCCTTTGTGGAGAATTTTTTGATGGAACTAACCCGCATTTGGTTACATGGAGAGGAAGACTACAAGAACCTCCCCCTTTTAGTCGGAGGGCATGATCTGTCTACTGCTGATGATATTTTATGTCAGCACTGTGGTCGGCGCAAGCGGGATGACGAATTCGTATAGACCATTCATGGCTGGGATTCGAACCCGGTTCTCCTGATTGGAAAGTAAACGCTCTATCCCCTGAGTCATCGCGGCTCTAATAATTAATTTAACTAATTCAACTAATTTTAAATAGCACTGGCCTTCAGCATTCAATCTATAATTTACGGGGATGGTATTATAGGCCAGGTACTTCCCCGCACAACTTCCAAGTTTTTGCATTGCTTAAATTTAAGTAACACATCGTAATCTGCATTGTTATTGGTTGTAATTGCTTCTATTTAGGGCAACTTTGATCAGTAGTTATGATTTTATTTGCTGAAACGTCGTTGAAAGGCGTGTGTAACTACTTTATCAGAGTTTAGCTTCTATGCCGACCGGCCAGTGTAGGCCCTTCATCGGAAAAGTTCCGGTTTCGAATCCCGACCAAGGCATGGATGTTCTTTCCTTCTCTGTACTATCTGTTCTTATTGTGGGAGCAACGTTGGCCCACCTAATATGGTGCCCCTGAAAGAGAGGCCAACAAATCTTCCCTGTAAATGCCTGAATTGAGGAAAAATGTTAACACAGGTGGGTATTGGAAAAAAAAGTTTAACTTCTATGTAGCACTGCAAACCACATAATTTTGTTGACCGCTTTACACATCGATCCTCTTTCCATAACTATAACTATTAGAGATGACTAAGTACCAATTTTTTAGTTATCACTTACAAAAACCTGATTTTTTTTTTAAATATGAGATTCACATCAATTTCAATTTATAGAGGGAATGGACAGTTGTAAAGCGAAAATTCCAAAGATTTTTTAGCATTAATTTCAAAGAATCATTCAATTTAATCATTTAAATCTGAATTTAATCTTTTAAATCTGAATGTAATCATTTAAATCATTTAATCATTTAAATCTGATTTTATCAATTTAAATTTGATACAGAATCACAAATATTCTTATTAAAAGCAACATATTTGACATGCTTCATTACTTTCCATTTCTCTTAATATATTATCCTTGTCAAAAAGTGAAGTTAAAAATCTATGCATATAAGGACTTACAAACTAATAGTTGATTGAAGAATTGAAGTGAAAAAATTAGGATACAAATCATTAAAGCAAATTTGATGACATTTTGATGACAACAAATTTGAAACATGCCTAATGAATTTTTTTAAATAATCGCCTCTGGGCAATTCCATATGTGACGGAATGACATTTTGACTTGCATGATGACAATTAATTGAAGTTTCTATGCATCTAATTTCAAATAAACATGATTTTTTCTCATGCATATCATTATTATTGGTATAATGTGATTCATAAACTAAAAAAAAAGAATTTTGTATTTTTTTTATTTTTAATTTTATGAACTTTTTACTTGTGTGACGGAATGACATTTTGGCAACCAAGCTTTCGGCATGCCGCTTAGAACTGGTAGTTTCTGTGAATTTTGCAACTATTATTTTCCTGAACTATTTTTTACTTTTAGTATAATGTGTAAGCAATGTAAATTGTGAATTTGGAAAATTAACCTCAGGTTGGCTAGCAGTTATTAACATCTATTTGCTGTGACGGAATGACCGTGACGGAATGACAAAAAGTTTAGTGGAAGAAAGTCTTCATTTAAAAAATGTTTTATTAATATGTAAATGATAAACAGAATGTAACAGATAAACAGAATTAATATTTACGTAAGAATCAGTTAAAATTTCAACAATTTGAAAATTAGGTTGTCTCAGAAGAGGTTTTATATCTAACTTGCCAATGTCACATCTTATCTTCGTTCTCAGGAAATTTATGCATAAATCAATTTTTGTCCCATGTTCTTTAAATACTTTAACATCTAAATCGTCTTTGTTTATCAAAGTAATTTGCGCTGCATATAAATGTGCCTTCTTTTTTTTCGCAGTATGGGACAATGATTAAAGAGCCGACCGCATACTCCTCAATCATATTTTCCATTTCCTCTTCAAAACAGTGGCTTTTCAAATCATACACTTGGTTTTGGTTAAAATTAGAAAGCATTCCAATTTTGATGATTCGCTTCTCAACTACATGAGCATCTAGTGCAGGTCTCTTGTTCCTGGCAATGCTAATGTAGCAAGTGTCTAGCTGAAGTCATTCTCTTTTGCCCTCTCTTAAATAGAATAGCTGGACAAAAACAAAACTTCAACGATTTGTTGCTTCGACTTTATGAAATCATAAAATTCTTTTACATATTATGTGCCGTTTTACAGCAGCCAACATCTTGTTTGGCCTTTTAGAACAACATCACAATTACATGGTATTTATAGGTGCATGTGCTGTGAGGTATTAATGAAATACACTTAACAAAAATGAGAATAAGAACAAAAATGAGATAAGACACACTTTACATCAATATATGCTTCTTTATGAAAAGCCTCTTTTAAGGCCATAAGTATATATTGCATCTGCACTCTTCGTTACTCTGTCAGAGTTTGTATTATGACTGAATCCTTCATACTTGGGGGCTTGTAACTAACATCATCTTGACAGTAAAATTTTTTTAACCAAATTAAACAGCTCATCAACATTACTTTTCTCACTTAGTTTCTTTTGAGTTCGATGTTAAATACTTCTCACATAAAGACTGAATTAATTTTTTTACCTCTATTGGTGATTTTGGAAGTGAGTGTACAATTTTTTTTATGGTGAGTGTACAATTTTTTTTTTGGGTTTACCAAGACTCTGCAGGAATTTGTATAGGGAATTTAAATTATTTGTATGTGAAGAGATTGGTAGAATTTGATTTTTTCTTTGTTTACACAATCTCTGCACAACAGCGTTTGCACTTCTGAGTTTTTTAAGTCCAACTTTTGTCGCGGAAGCTTTCTTCTCTGCCTTTCTTTCTCTGTTTTTTTTCTTCATCATATCATGGGGATCTTGGTCTTTTTCAACATTTTATCTGTCTTTCAACAGCTGTTTTAGCCATTAGGTTAATTGAAAAAAAAATAATTCCCTAGTTTTTGACTAAGCTTCTCAAGGACTCGTTTTGTCATTCCATCGCCGAAGATGTGTCATTCCGTCACGCTAATTATTGGAAGTTAATAATCAAATGCATAGAATTTTACAATTTCTCATTGATTCTTATGCCACATCTGCTTTATATTCCAAAATATACACATTTTCATTCAAAAACGCAGTTGCTATTTAAAAAAATATACTAAAACATGTGACGGAATGACACAAAAAAAAGTTACTTTTATTTAATATATTAAACTTAAAATGACTTAAAGGCTATGTTTTAAATGTTTAAATTTTGTACTATATGCATATTTTTATCAAAATATTGCAAAAGAAAGATACATTTCTTTTATTTTATAAGTATTTTTCAAGAAAACAATTTGAGCACAAATGTGAAGAATTCACTTGTCAGCCATGTGATTACTTTAGAATGCTGCCAGATTCAAAAAACTTAAAATTATCAAAAATTAAACAGTAATATGTAGACTTTGGCTATTTTTGAACATATTTTTAAAATTAAAATATGCAATTCATAAAAAAAAAATTTCACTTAAAAGTTGACACTTTCGTGGAATTGCCCCTCTCCATTTCCTCAACAATTGAACAAATTTTTCAGTATCTCCTTTTCCGATCTTGATTCATTGGATATATGATTTATTCATTAGATATATTACTTTCTTCTTTTCTTTTCTTAAATATTAGGTATACTTTTTGAGAAGGTTTTAAAAACATACATTAGGAGTGTTTATTGGAGAATACCCTGTTCATCTAGTAGTTTTAATAAAAATTGCAGTACTTTATTTATACAAAATTAATTAGTTTTATATTATTTTTAAAATTTAAAAAAAATGATTAAAAAACAATTGTTTTTCTAAAAAATCAATCAAGTTGAATAGAAAAAAATA